TTTTCGGTAAGAAACAGTCCAATCCAAAAGTTTGAAACTGATTCACATGAAACAAAGCAATCTTAATTACATCCCAGTACATATACAACATATTTAATCGTCACTTGTGAGAAACTTCTTTCTTCAGAGCTTCTTCAACGTCAAAATCAGTGTAATTATAATCTGAAATTGTTTAAATCAATTGTATGTCTTTTTTGGAGGTTGGTTTTATAGGCCATCAAAATCCGTCCCCTAAATGATCCAACATTAACCCCAGAACGTTTATTGGCTTATATTCAAATTTTCAAGTGATGGCCAAGTAACCATCCAGTTCAAAATATTTCTAAATGTATATTTTCTCTTAAGGGAAACAATGTTCGAAAATCAATTATTAACAGCTACAGCAATGCATAGAAAGAATAGATTCTCAAATTACATGATAATTACAAGTTGCATAAAAGCACTCCAGCCCATCATTGCCGCACGTCAAAAATATTTACACTATTGGGCACCTACCTATTTGGCTTATGGTCTGCTCAAGAGAAGGTGGGAAAATACTCAGGAAAACGATTTTATATTATAAACCTGACTACACTCATATGAGCAGATTGCAAAATAAAAACAGACGCTTACTTAAATCATTAATATTTAGACACACCTCCGCTAACAAGCCCACTATTTCAATTTACTTACACTCATTGGGTGGCCATATTCAAAACTTCATATTCGGGGTTGCAAACTTAGACACACACGACACAATTATATGCAGAGGAACCTCTCTGTTTGAAAATTATATTAGCCCCCTTACAGTTACTGTGGCCATATCTATATTGTGCCACACCGACGCTACCCGGTACTCACATCATAAATATTGTAGAGCGACTTTCTTCATTTCTTAGTCTGATTGCCAAAGTAAAGTCATCATTGCCTTGCCAGCAAAATACATTTAAACCCAGAGAGTTCTAATCCTTAAGCGTCTTCTCAGGCCTGAACTCCAATCAGGAAATTTTGCAATTATCGTATGAAGGTTAACAACAGAATAACTACTGAATTACCACTTCAAAATATACCTTGTGTTTCTATCAGCTTCATTTGCTCCTCCTCCATTGCTTATAACAACCTTATTACGTCTATGTAAGCGAATCTCAGTTGAAATCAGACAGTGATTTACTCTAAATACCCTATTAACAATTGTATTGCACTTAATCCTCTAGCAAATCTTTTATACATGAACTACTGAATATGTAATTGTTAAAACTGTTTTTCCTAGAAGAATATAGCATATTAGTGTGATTCTTTCAAATAAATGTGCAGGAAAACAACAATAATAATAAAGTGGAGAGGCTGTATGTGGATAATTCCATTTCTCAGAATGCTCTTTATTTTACGAGAATGTTTGGAAATACGGATTTTGCAAGTAAAGTGGCATATGAGTTAGGCTATATGTAAACGTTATGCAGTGGAATTTGTATGAGATTAAGCCAAAAATAATGCGGGTTTTTTTTTTTCGTTTCAAGAACAAGATAGAAAGTTGATTTAAATAGTTTCAGGAATTAAAAAAAAAACGTGTGACTTGCACCCCTTGTTCTTCTCAAAAAAGATGCAATCAGCTGTGCATGTAAAAGCTGCCTGTGTTCAAAAGTTGATGTTAATATGTGTATAGAGGAGCAAGATCTTAATGTTCTCATACAACTTGTTGCAAATCTAGGCCTCAACAGACTAACATTTCTGACCAGACCAATTCAAAACTGCCAGGGAGAGTGGTGCTTTGCGAGTAACACCACAAACCATATAAAACCCGAACATGGAAAAATGAACTTAAACGTGAATGTGTAAAAATTTTAAATGCTGCTTTCAATTTAAGAATCCCACTTTGTCCCATGCAGTAGATCGCCCATTTTGTGAGATATGTGAAAGAGTTCAGTAAAGGAAACTACAAAACGCCATGTGTACATGCATTCAAATGCAGCGCCCTATGTGTGTTCAAGCGTGCGCAAACGTTTCAAAGTGCGTTACCCAGTCTACAATGCATTATCGGCCCAACATTGTGGGAGCATCATAAACTGCATCATGCCCACGCCAACTAAAAAATTATACTTGCAAAAAACTATTTTAACACAAATAGATTTTAACATCTAATTAAAGATGATATTTTAACATATTTAATTTGTAAATGTGACTGATGAAAATAAAGTGCATGTTTGCTGCATTCTGGAAACATTTCCTATTTTAAAACAGACTCAAAATTTAGTTTTTTAATACTTATTAGCTTTTAATATTGTAATTACGTGTTTTAAAAGAAAAATTTTAAAAAAGAGCGACTATTGTGATACCCATGTTCACTGTTCTACTCATTCTTAACTATATCTATGCCACTAGAGGTTGAGATATGTAAAACAATTATCCCTGAAATTGAAACACACCCAATTGAAAGAGTAGCGTGCTGTGTTTTATGTACGTATTTTATTATATTTTATTATATAAATTTTGTTTTGGTAATTGTTTGAAATGTAATTTTTCCAATGAATTTTTTATCTTACTTTTCCTTGTACGAAAAAAGGTTCTTTATAGTAATACAAGTATAAAACAATCGTGCTATATCTGAAACCTTTGATATTAATGCTTGAAATATTTCTAAGTATATTTTTATATACTCCATAGCTGGCCAAAGTCCTTTAAAAATGAAAAATGCCTGATTCTATTTTTTATATCATCTCACCATTGAGTTTGTTTTTTATGCTATGCAATGAAAAATATAATGGCACCAACTTCTTATTCTTTCTTTTTGTTTCTTAAAACAATATTAATTATCAATCTTATAAAATTACATAAAAAAAATTGCCTTTGTACTTTAAAAATGAAATTTTAGGTAATCTTGGATGGATATAAATAAATCAATTTGTTTGAAAAAAAGGTGTTTTTTTTTTCAATCAAATATTATATTCAAACTATAACCACAAAAGAGGAACTTTGTTCCTATCCTGATTTATATTCTACATGAATAATTACATAAACTAATGAAGGATAGTACGCAAACTGAACAATAGCCACAGTGAAAAATCTTTACTCTTTGCAAGCCAATTGAAATTTTTATTGACCAGTTGCTCCCTTCCGCAATCCGTGCTTGCTGCCAGGAAAGATTGATGATTCCCTCCTGTTCCGTCAACGTTCCGTACCTTTGCTGTTGATACTGAATCATAGAGCATGATAATAATGCATTCGCATTCATTGCCATTACTTGACAGCATAGCCACATATTGCTCTTGGACCCCACAACTCGCTGCGTTGCGCAGCCGAAATTCGTTGTTGTATTGGTTAACCAGAGGTCGTATGATTCGAGTCTCGACAGTGGCGAATTCGCTTCTCGCTAAATAGCTGCTGATTTCAAACTAAAATTCTAGCGGCGCGGTTGCTCTGATTCGCTTGTCCGATCCGCCGCGCACAATGACGCGAATGCTGCGAGTAGATCCTAACAAACGTGCACGGATGCACGCGATCTTTCTTCCTCCACCCGTGCATTCTTCCTTCCTTGTCCCATCCTGCTCCTTACACACTTCCACCTACACTACCACGAAAACAGACGGATCCTTATACTGAAGTCCCCCGATGCGGGACAGATACTTGATGTGGAATTAACCCGCAAGCCAAACTTGTACACGACGAATAGAATATAATGTTAATGTCTTTATGAGTTGTAGCTCTTCAGCCTTAACCACTCCTTAACCAATATTTTTAACATAGAGTGGCTGAAGTGTTATTGTGTGTGTATAAAAACACGCGTGCTGACATTCATCATTAAGAAGACGTAATCACCCATGATTAATGGCAGTACCTTTGCAGTGGAAAGAAAATATCCTGCACTACGAAAGGTGCATATACCCTACATTTTATATATTATACTGTCCCATTATATTGCCACTAGCCCTCCGCTATCACGACTATCCTGAAAAAAGATTCCCATTAGCCACGCAAAACTAATGAGTTAATGATTGCTGCAGAATAAAATTGATCCTTTCAATAATGTGACCCACAGTGCCTCGAAAAACGTTTCCCCCTACCCCCCCAGCCCGCAAGACAGCCCTTCCGACCGCCAGTCGCCATTACTAAACCCTTCGGGTTTCGGCCTCCACTCTACTCAGTCGATGCATGCCAACCTATTTCTTCCAATATCCCAATGGACCACGATAACGGGAGTGTTAATGACCCTTCCCCTTTCTCTCCTTACTTCTCCCTGTGTTGCATCTGCTCCATAAACATGGACAAAGACAACTGCCCAGCGCCCTCTGCGATCAAACGCGTTTCAGTGAAAGTGCAGTGGAGTACTCAAGCTCCACCCTACCACTACAAGGTCATAATTCTTACCGCAGCTAGGAAGATTTTTATATGATATAATTATTGATGTATTATTATTATCTATCCTTTAATTAATTATATTTATTGATTGTATGCGACTAATTATCTAAGAGCCTACGATACATCTGTGAAGGGCAAAGGAAGTATCCGGCGTGAGGGTAGGAATCCATTGCATGCAATCATAAAACACATATCAAACTAAAACGAAAAAAAAAAAAAAAGTACGTAAATCGTCATACTCTATCAAC